CTCCCTTACTTACTTGGTCTTGAACCTGGCTCAAAGTGTATCGTCCATCCACTTAGCATCCTTCAATTTATCTTATCGATGGTTCATTTAATTTGCTATTTTGCTTGTTTGGAGCGTTTTTTCTCATTCCAGCTGTTGAGTGATAAATGGAATTTGAGAAGGAAAGGATGTGATGGTGGCGAGCAATCAATATGGAGTGCCATTTCTGCTCGCAGTCGATTTGCTTATTTTGGTGATAATTTTTTGGTGGATTGGTCGGTTGAAGGTGCTAGGATGAGGTATGCTGGCGAGGAGAAGGATAAACATTGTTTGAACAGTAGTTGTGTCTACATCAACTATATAACCACCGGTCAATCATGGAGATCAAAAGTCACCGGTTATTATTGGCCTCGTTTAAGTTGGAACAACATACCTACCTTTTTGATTTCATTTTTCCTTGGTCGCTACAAATTTTCTTCTGATTCAGAACAACAAGTATTACAAACATCGTCATCGACGTTTTGGGAAAATAATGGCACTCTCTCCACCTACTCACAATTACCACCACCTCATCAACCAATCCATATGAACTTGGTACTAAACGAAAAATTGTTTGATCCTGTTGAACATCAACTGCAACCAGGCGCTTGGTATAATTTGTATGTGGACGATCGTGCGCACACTATTTTATTTGCTGATAAAAAAAAAAATCAACAACAAAAATTATCATCGTTATCATCGACGATCTCTCGATTTCTCCCATCAATAATAATAAACAATAAAAAATTGATACCACAACAAATATATGATCTAAAGATTATTAAACAATTCAACGACTCACTTTATTTTGGAAATTCTAATGAAAATTTCGAGTATTTTTATATAATATTTATAGAATTTTTTGAAAAATATTTGAGTAATGTTATTTCAAACTTGTTATTTTTATCTTCTGATGATGACAATGATATTAATAACAACAATAACGATGGTGGTAATTATTATAGTAATGATAAAAGAAATATTACTATTAGTCATGATAATGATGATATTATAAATATCATTGATCCTTCAAAATACTCTCCTAAATTATCATACGTTAACAGCAGCAATAATAATAAGAGTAGTAGTAACAATAAGTCAAAAATATTTGATCGTATTGTCACAAGAACATCTGACAAGGCAGCTTTGGAATGGATGACTAGGGTTGAGACAACTGGCGTATTGAGTAGTCCAAGTAGATTGCTTTATTGGATGAATCAATCACATTATGCTGTTGCGGATCAAAGAAATAAAGGTAGAAACAATAGTAAAAATAATCATAATATTAGAAATAGTTTTAATAGCAGGAATAATAATAGAACATCGACGTTTTTAAAATCAACTGATGATTTTATAAATAATGGTAATTCTTTTTTACTTTCTATATAATGACGATGATGATGATAATGATCTTAATCTTTGATTTTTTTTTTCTTTTATTCTAGTTCAACAAAATGACGGTCCCATGTTCATCAGAGCGAGACATAAAATGACAGCTGAAGATTATAAAGCTACAGTGATGAATGGGAATGGTCCCTCTCTTATCAACTAATAATTAATAATAATGTTGAAGAATTTACTGGTTTTTATTTTATTTTATTTTCATGGGACTTTTTCTTTAAAAAAACTTTTTCACTTTAAATTTTAATATTTGTCCAAAAAAAAGATTCATTTTTTTCAATTGTAAACCATTCATTATAATATAATTTTTTAATTTTTTTATTTACACACGCACACACACACATATATATACATGTTAATTATATAAAAAATCAATCCATCATCATTATATATATTATATTATTATTATCATTGTTATTATTTAGAATTTTAAATAAAATATAAAATATTAAAAAATTATTAATATTATTAAACCAGGTAAATTGAACGTTTTAATTTGATCTCTAAAAATTTAAATCACAATTGTATATACACCAATAATACTCTTTGACGTTAGGAAATTATCATTTATTCTAAATGCATATTTTACATATACACGCTTACACTTTTTCGAGCCAGCAACAAAGCCAATAAAACCAAATCAAGAAAATTTAAAATAAAAACCAATAATAATGTTTCTATAAGAATATTTTTTTTTGGTTGAGCAATATCATCAGCTTCAATTCAACCTAAACAAGAAAGTAAAGAGTCTGATGATTTTTCAGTTTCGCAGGTAGAAGTAACAGCAAAAAGAATAAAGTTTGACAATCTACTTCCTTATTAAATAGTTCAGTGTTTTGCTTTAATCCAAAACTGGCAGCAAACCTTACTCCAAGGCTTGATCTTTTCAATATTTTAAAGCAGACAATAAGAAATTCTCCTGCCAAGTTTTTTATTACGGGATTGTTATAAGTTTCGTGTTTTTGCTTATTAAATCGACCTGTTGATTTCTTACCTTTGTGCTAATTTTTGATTAAATTCTTCTCCCATAAATAGTAAAAAAGCAGAGTAACTGATGCTGGCAATTTAATTTTCCAGAGAGGCAAAGTATTCTTTTCCATTCACTGCTGCTTATTAACTTGTTTGGCATAAATATTAGATGATTTTGTGTAAAGTTTGCCCTAGTTACTGCACTACCTTTTCTTGAATTCTAAAATTTTCTTTTTTTTGTTGTAGGGTTTGCATTTTTTCTTCAGAGTTTCCTACCCTTTAAATCAATACAAGATAATCAATCATACCCTTTGAAGCTTTTATCGAGAACATCAAAATCATCAGATTGTGTTTGTGGCTCATCGTTGTATATTTTGTCAAATTAAAAAGATTCAAATAATTTCATTTGACCATCAATTTTCATATGAATGAATTTTATTAGAATTTTCATAATATTAACTTGCCTTTTAATTTTCCCATGACATCGAGATCATTTTCTCTCATAATTTTTCTTCTCAAATTCTAGATAATCTCTTTGGGATTAAAATTGGTTAACTAAACCATTGGGATAATGTGAGCATCGAATTTTGTTGTCCATTTTCATTTAGAAAGTTTAGTAATATAACATCGTTTGGATTATGGATTAATCTTGCAAATGAAGAGAGCTTGGTATTAATATAAAGAGCACTTGTTGCGCTTTTACCACCATCATTTCTATTACCAAACTGTTCCATAGGTTCTAATAAATTAATAGTTGGTGTCTATAAAATCTTGGGCAAGATTGACTATAGTAGAGTGAAGACTAGTTTCACTGTGATGGAATGCAGTATCCTCAGAAATATAACCAGCTAGTTGTAATACTTTAATATGTCTTTTAACCAAATTTCTTTTGATAAAACCTTTCTTTGACTAGGTTTCAAACCATCTATAACAGAAGGAATTGAACAAACATTATTATACGGCGAAAATACTTATTTATATAAACCTTTATTGTTATTTCATCATCTCTATAGCCAATGTAAGTTTCACCTCTCTTTTCAATGTACATTTGCAAATCAGTGCATCTAAGATCCTCTTCATCCATTGGTTGGAAAATTTTACAAGAATTTTTTTATACCCATTTCTATTATCATACTGATGTTTCTATTCCTCAAAATTCTGGTAATCTAAAGAATGATAAAATTTTCTTTTTTTTTGCAATTATGATTGGTGCAATAAACTCTTGAAGAAGCCTGATTGTTTTGACGATGATGAGTGAAAAAGTTGACGATTAAGCCCTTTCATCAAGGCCTTGATCAACAATTATCATCATTTTACCATAACGCAAGTTATCTATTGGGCCAATGAATTGCACCAATTCTTTTATTTGTTTATTATTTTGAATTTTTTTCGTCTAGTGCATCATGAACATTTAAACAAGTAAATATTTTTTTTATCTAGAATTTCTAGAATTTCTAGAAAATCATGTGTACATACGCGTGTGATCTATTTGATTACATTCCATAAATAGTTATGATCGTCAAGCGTAACAATCAAACAAGGCCTGAAATATTCGTTCATTTTATTAAACATTTAAATACTAATTTCGGAAATTTACTATTATGTAATTATTCTATATTGCATTTAGATTCTATTACATAATAAGTGAGGCGGGATATTCCTATCTTCGTAAAATTAGATTTGTGCTTGGGCTGTTAGGTGAGTAAAGCATTTGGACTCATAAATTGATACATTATATTAATCATTATAATCTTTCCTGAATAATAGAAGTTAGTTTAAGCAGGCGCATAGTTGTTATAAATGCTAACGCCCATCGCTAGTTGAAGCCTCTCCTACGTTCAGAGTTCATTATTCCTAAAGTATCACTACAAAGGATAACGGGAAGGTACTTTCGTAGGCACGAAAATGACGGTTTCATCAAACCTGATACCTAAACTCAATATGTTGGATTTAATTAATATTATTCATTTATTTTTTTTATTTAAGAAAAAATATTTCAAATAATAATATACTGAATATATCACGAAATCATTATAAACATTTTCCACCAAGGTGTTCATTCACATACAAGAAAAGGATCAAAAAATAAGTCATGTTTTATTTATTTTGAGAAAAATATATAACAGTTTTATTAATATAAATATTTAAATATTAAATATTATAAAACATTAACAAGAGTTATGGCTGATTTTTTGATATTGTTAATATAATTAATTTCTTTGCCTATTTATAATTCTTTTACTCATACTGAGATTGAGCGCTAAAATAAATTGTTCTTTGAAGCGAAAGAATTTTAACGCGAGTCAAATCGATCCCTGTAATTTTTTGTGAATCCCATAGAGGGTGGTGCTTGATCAAGGAAAATGCGATTTGTAAACAGATTTTGTTGATCTTAATGTCATAAATTTAATATCAGCTCCTCCTTTACTACAAAATTACAAAATTATTACTAGAAGATTCCAAACAATACCATTATTAATATGATTAAATTATTTTGAAAATTAGCAAACTCTTTTGTTATCTTCAAAATTCTTTTTTCACTTTTTCATTAAATAATTTTTATATATACATTTATTATATACATATTTAAAAAAACCAAAGAATTGAAAAAAATGGCCGAAGTCGAACAATTTGCGTTCCAAGCTGAAATTACTCAACTTATGTCTATTATTATCAACACTTTTTATTCGAATAAAGAGTACTTTTTTTTTTTAATATTATTTATCAAAAAGGAACCCTCCTAAAAAATAATTGAAAATAAATTTTTTATATATTTATTTATTGTTATATAGTATTTTCCTTCGTGAATTGATCTCAAATGCATCTGACGCTTTGGACAAGATTAGATATGAATCTCTTACTGATCCTTCAAAGCTTGAGGCTGTAAATGAACTTTACATTAGAATCTTTTCCGATAAAGAAAACAAAACTTTATCTATAAGAGACACTGGTATTGGAATGACAAAGGTGCGATAATATATATATTATTAAATTAATTTTTTTGTATAATACGAAAGAAAAATTATTTGTTTATTTTGTTTGCTTTATATCATATAATTATCATTGCTATCGTATAGTCAGAACTTGTTAGTAGTCTCGGTACAATTGCTAAATCAGGTACTAAAGCCTTTATGGAAGCACTTCAAACTGGAGCTGATATATCTATGATTGGTCAATTTGGAGTCGGTTTTTATTCTGCATTCTTGGTTGCTGGCCGAGTTCAAGTAATTACCAAACACAATGACGATGAGCAATACATTTGGGAATCAGCTGCTGGTGGGTGTTTCTCCATTGTACGTGACACTTTTAATTCACCTCTCGATCGTGGTACTGTGGTTAGATTGTTTCTCAAGGACGATCAACTTGAATATTTGGATGAACATAAAATTAAAGAAGTTGTCAAGAAACATTCTGAATTTATTGGACATCCAATTCAACTTGTTGTTGAAAAAGAAGTTGAAAAAGAGGTTGAATTTATAGAGAGAGAAGAAAAGAAAAAGAATCGGATCAAAGAGATCGTTAAAGTAGTCGAAGAAATAAACAGAATCAAACCGATTTGGACTCGTAATCCTGAAGTTATTACCAATGAAGAATATGCTGCTTTCTACAAATCCATTACTAATGATTGGGAAGATCATTTGGCTCTTAAGCATTTCTCCATCGAAGGTCAACTTGAATTTAAAGCGATTCTTTTTATTCCTAGACGTCCAACATTTGATATTTTCGAAAACAAAAAAACAAGAAATAATATCAAACTTTATGTGAGACGTGTATTCATCACTGATAATTGCGAAGATTTGATGCCTGAATATCTTAACTTTGTCAAGGGCATAGTAGATTCTGAAGATCTGCCACTTAACATTTCTCGTGAAATGCTTCAAAAAAACAAGATAATTAAGGCTATCAATAGGAATCTTGTCAAAAAAAGCTTGGGATTAATTAATGAGATTGCGGAAGATAAAGAAAATTTTGCCAAATTTTATGATTCTTTTTCCAAGAATATCAAACTCGGTATTCATGATGATCCACAGAATCAAGCCAAACTAGCAGAGTTTCTTTGTTATTATTCAACCAAATTTTCTGACGAAATGACATCATTGAAGGACTATGTTACAAGAATGCCAAATAAACAAAAGGTCATTTATTATATCACTGGTGAAAATCGTCAGGCAGTAGAAAAATCGCCATTTGTTGAAGTTCTTAAGAATAAAGGTTATGAAGTGTTGCTAATGACAGATCCGATCGATGAATATTGTATGCTGCAACTCAAAGAGTATGATGGTAAAAAACTTGTCTGTGTCACTAAGGAAGGATTAGAATTTTATGAAGACGAGGTGGAAAAGAATAACCATGAAGAATTGGCTAAACGATTTGAAAATGTGTGTAAACAAATCAAAAAGATTCTTGGTGACAAAGTTGAAAAGGTAATGTTTACTATGATTTCTGCGGATTCTTTTTTATACAGAATTATTTATCATAATTTTCACCATTATGTATGTTTATTTATTTATTTATATTTATATAGGTAGTTGTTTCGAATCGCATTTCAGAGTCACCTTGTGTACTTGTGACAGGGCAGTATGGGTGGACAGCTAATTTTGAAAGAGTTATAAAAGCTCAAACACTTAGAAATCCAAATATCTCGTCATTTATCGTATCAAAGAAAATAATGGAAATTAATCCACATCATCCAATCATCAAAACACTCAAAAACAATTTTGAAGTAGGTAATAATAATGAAAAGTTAGTCAAAGATCTTACATGGCTTTTATTTGAGATATCACTTCTACAATCTGGCTTTAGTTTGGAAGAACCATCATTGTTTGCTAATAGAATTTATGAAATGATTAAACTTGGACTTGATATTGTTGGTGGTAGTGGTAATGAGGGTGACGAGTCCATGGAAATCGAAGAGTCGTCTGATGCGAATGTGATTGAAGAGGTTTTAAGGATGGAAGAAGTTGATTAAGGAATTAAAATAATTAAATAATTGAGATGTACATTTGCATACATATAATGGATATTTTAATAATTAAAAAAAATTTTTTGTATTGAATTAAAATAATATTAAAAATTTCAATTATTGCGTATAATTATATTAATATTAATATATATTTTTCCAAATTGCCATGATTATCTGGTTTATCAAAAAAAAAAAATTTATTTGAAAAAAGAAAAATGTCTTTACTCAGAATTTATTCTTCCTTGTTTAAAAATAATTTAACGAAAATTTCTTCTTTTTCATCACCGCCAACAACCATAGCGACAACAATAGAAAAAAAAGATAACATTAGTAACAATAATAGGAGGAATTATATGAAATTACCTTCGGTATATATGTAAATGTAAAATAACTTGTTATTTTGTTGACAATTCAATTTTTGCATAACTATATTTCGTTTTTTAGAAATTATGGGAATTAGGTAAATTGAATCATGTTGCAATTGCAGTTCCAAACCTAGAAAAGGCTATAGATTTTTATAAAAATATTTTAAGGGCAAAAGAAGTTAGCGAAGCTGTGGTAAATATAGCAACAATAATTTTTGAACAACAAATCACACACACACACACACACACACACAACACATATACACGCATATACATTCTCTTATTTCATATTTTATTAGGAACAACCTGAGCATGGCGTTTACACAGTATTTGTGAGTTTAGGAAATACAAAAATTGAATTATTACATCCTTATGGTGATAAATCACCAATTCAAAATTTTTTAGAAAAAAATAAAAATGGTGGAATTCACCATGTTTGTATTGAGGTAATCAAATGCATACTGCATCATAACAACACACACACACACATATTTATTTATTTATTATTATTATTATTCTAAATTCAATTATTATTGTTATTATAAAGGTTAACAATGTCACAGAAGCAGTTAAAGAATTGACAGAAAAAGGTGTAAGAGCATTAGATCCTGAACCAAAGATCGGTGCGCACACACACACACACACACACACACACAACACATATACACGCATATACATTCTCTTATTTCATATTTTATTAGGAACAACCTGAGCACAAAAATTGAATTATTACATCCTTATGGTGATAAATCACCAATTCAAAATTTTTTAGAAAAAAATAAAAATGGTGGAATTCACCATGTTTGTATTGAGGTAATCAAATGCATACTGCATCATAACAACACACACACACACATATTTATTTATTTATTATTATTATTATTCTAAATTCAATTATTATTGTTATTATAAAGGTTAACAATGTCACAGAAGCAGTTAAAGAATTGACAGAAAAAGGTGTAAGAGCATTAGATCCTGAACCAAAGATCGGTGCGCATGGGAATCCGGTTATATTCCTACACCCAAAAGATTGTGGTGGTGTTTTAGTTGAATTGGAAGAAGTTAAATAAATCCTTTTTTTTATATACACTTATTTCTTAATCCTCAATTTTCACATTTATTATTACATTTTCACTATAACCACCATTCTTTTTTATGTTAAAATTGAAATGGCCAAAATAATTTTAAATAGATTATCATTGTTAGTATGATCTTAACAAATGTATGTATGCCGCCAAATCCCAAATCATTTGTGACTATGAAATCAAAATGCACAAATTAAATTTGGGCAAAGGATGAAATTTAGGGCATCCCAAATTATATAAATCCAAAACCAAATTATTTTGACGTCCCATACTATTAAGTGTACTACCACATTAAATCCCTTTTCATTAGTAATAGTGCTAGCAGTAGAGTAAAAATAAGATAAATTTATTTTCATTCAAGTAGAAGAAGAATTACATGCAACAGCTGAAACAAATCAAAATTAGTCAACATTTGATGAATTGATTGATATAGATGGCAAAGAACTTTGTCGGAAATTGAGGTTTCTGTTCCCATTCCTAGCTGCTGAAATTATTGAACATGATAATACAGAATTTGATAATAGAAATTGCAATGTTGAGTAGAACAAGTGGATCAGTTCATGGAGATAATAATATTTATTGAATTATTATATTGATTAATTAAGTAATTTTAAACAAAAAATTTTTTTTTGAAATACCAGTTTGAATCTAGTTTATCCTAGCAAATTAAACAAAAAATTTTACTCGATTTGGTTAAAAGATGAAACTAACTAAATCTAATAAAGGAAGGCTTTTGTTTTGAACGTTTTTGGTAAATTTATTAAAATCAAAAAAATTTGGAATTTTTCTAAATATAGAAATCACGTGAATTTTAAATAGATAAAAAGGATACGTCAGTGTGGTTTATATTTTTTTTTTAGCTTGCATTGATTTAAATTGGGTTGTCCAAATCTGGAATGATATACAAATATATTATTCTAATACTAATTTTGGCAGAAATTTTCGTTTCGTGAACATAGTAAAATACATGGGATAAGACTCGTAATTTTTTTTGAAAAATCTCTCCATTACATTAAAGCTAGGGAGAGATCTTATATGTCAACTAATGGGGTTAAATTTTTAAAAAATATAGTAGTTCTTGAGTTCTATACTTTTAAAGTTTGCACAAAATTTAGGCCATATCTCACGGTATAATAAAAAAAGTTATTTTTTTGGGGATAATTGAATTGGATATTGTTACAGATGCAGAGATTAGCTTCCAAAAAAATATGGTGGGGGAGAATTAGCTCTTTACCAACTCATAACAACTTGTTTTCCGGCAATTCCGTTAAGAGTTTGTCTCTTGAATTTGAATTTGAGCTTAAGATTGTTTTTGTACTTTTATTGATGAAACAAAAGAGAAAAAACCATTATACACAAATAAACCTGATGAAGTTGGTCACTCAATAAATCGGACTTGGCCTAACTTGGACAATATTTTAGCCATTTTGATAATAATAAGTTGGACAATATATCCTGTAAGTCAAATAGCAACGCATGATTTTTTAAAAAATAAACCTTACCATTTTAAATTTGATATTTGCTTGAAATAAAAAAAACGATTTGAATCTTTGTAACAATAAATTCTTAGTATTATATCTATTGCAAGTTGGACAATAATAAAGATGATTTTTAATTGTTTAAATAAAATTTTAAGATCTCGTTAATTTTATCAGGAGATATCGACATTAGATTTTTTTGATAAAGCTCTAATTTTGAGAATCGCCTGAAATTTTTTTCTTTTGGCCCGGTTTTTTATTTCACATCAGGCGTGTATTTGATAACTCGGATTTCTTTGATAAGTCACCATGCCCAGACATTCATATCCGACTTATCAAGTTTACCTGTATATTGAGACAATGCCTTTCAAATTTTATTTTTTGTTGATGATAGCGTGACCATGTGAATTTGAAACTCACATATGAGAAAATTAGGTGCCAATTTCGAAAAATTGAAACCATAGAATTGTAGAGAAAGGTCTTGGCTTTAATTATAGGGAATTAGAAGATCTGCAAGACCGATCAAAAGACCTGACTGTATTAATATTAAATATTACTATATACACAAAAATGATTAGTTTGTTTGTTTTATGCAAAAAAGTAAATTTTTGGTAAATCGCGGAATTATAAATGGGGATTTTTTTCTAAAAAAAAATAAATAAATAAATAATAATAGAAATAATAAAAAGTAATAAAAACAAAAAAGTAATAAAATAATATGACAACAACCATTAATCAATTATCATCAAAAATTATTAGAAAAATACTCAAAAATATTTATGGATTTAGAGGAAATTACCGTAGAAAAGAAAATTTCCATGATTTATATTCGTGTATATTAGTGAATAGATCATGGTGTAAGATTGGAATACCAATACTTTGGTCATCGATATTTTATTCAATTCAGACAACATTAAGCTATAAAGTAATTACGATATATTTAAAATGTTTAAAAAAAGAAAAGAAGTTGCAATTGATTAAAGAAGGCATTAGATTGGAGGATGAAGAAGGTGTATTAATATTAGGAAACGATAGTAACAGTAGTAGTAGCATCAGTAGTGCTAGCAGTAACATTAGTAATAGTAGCTATAATGCAAATAATCCAATTATTAGAAACAGTAAATTATTATTCAAATATCCGAAATATTTAAAAGAATTAAATTTTGACAAATTTTTAAAAACAGTTTTTTTATGGAATAAAAAAACAAAAAACAATAAAATTAGAAATCATGAAATCATGATCAAAACATTATTAGAATTATTTTATCAATACAAAACAAAAATTAAATATTTCTCGATGAACAATGTTTCAAATTATTCAATTAATGAAGAATACTTTAGAAATTTAGAGAAAATTAACTGTAAGCTACTGATGCATCATTCAATTAGAAAAGTATTTTTTAAATTTAAAATATTAAGCATCGAATGGGATTCTATGTTGATTGATGGATTGATTGAGTCGTTGAGTGAGAATTGTAGGTCACTTGAATCAATAACTTTGAATTTTTATCATAATCCAAATAATTCAAATTTAAAAATCAACAAAATAAATTCAAAATTATTAGCAAAATTAATTTCTTCTCAATCAAATCTTGGGAGATTCGTATTAGCAAATTATCACACTTTCACACATCTATTTATTGAATCATTAAATAATCAGACACATTCATTAAACACTTTGGAATTTTATTATGTAGATTTTAAAGATTGTTATTCTTTTGAAGTTTTATCAAAATGCAAAAACTTGAAACTCATCACCTTTGAAAATTGTAAAAATTTAAATAATAACAATAATTATTTAATCAATCAATTAATTAATTCTAATTTACCAAATTTAATTAAAGTCAATTATTATGAGAACAATTATAATAACAATAATATCAACAATATAGATTTGATAACAGATCTATTTAATTGGTCAATAAAAATTAATTACAAAGGAAATTATTTATTAATTATAAGTAAATTATATGATAAAAGGTATTTATTTAAAATACTTATTTATACTTTTATTTTATTAATATTATTTTATTATTTTATTTTTCCAATATTAATTTATTTATCAAGAAAGATTTGTAATTAATCTTTTTTTCAAATTTTTTTTTTTTTGTAAATAAATAAATAAATTTCTTTGCTATTATTTATTACAAATTTATATAAATACAATTTTTCTGTTAAGTGAATAGTATTAGATATTAATACACTGACACTGTTTTATAATGCGCATTGAGGATCTTTAAGTCTACATCGTCAAACCCGAAAATAAAAATTTTATTAGTCACAATATGATTAACAAAGATGATGGTAAATATGCCTGTATACCAAATCCTATTGAATTCCAACAAAACTGGATTACATCCAGTATAATATTTTTTTTTTAGAAAAATTAATTTTTTCTAGTTCTTGGATCTTCTTGAATATTGTCCCATTTACAAATAATATAACAAAGAAGTAAGCTTCATAATTAAACAACTTTTTACAAACTTCCATTTTATATCAAGATTTCTTTGATAAAACCTTACTAATGGAAGATTATCATTTAACTTATTCCTCAAATGAATAATATAATCCAAATGATTTTTAATTCCAAATCATAATTAAGAATTGTTACAGCTTAATTTACTAACACTAGCAATAATTGATTCCTTATTATATTTGTTCTATTTTTTTTTTTCTAATGATTAAATAAAGTATGATATTATATGGGGTGTACTCAACACAGAGAACATTTGTTCATCACCAATGTGATTATGATTTAATGATTTTATAATATCTTTGATTTTCTTCAATGATATATAGAACTACTCCTATAAGAATAATTAATGTGAAATAGATTTACATCAGATTTGCTATGGAACCAAAAATTATAGCACTATTAGAAGCATTGTGAAAAAGGAACAAGGTGAGAAAATTGCTCCCTATATTGCTAATTAAGATATGCTTGAAAACTATCTACCCATGAAATTTATCAAGAAGAAAAGAAAAATCATAGCTAATAAAGAACATTAACACAAAGCCATGAAGAACCTAAAAAGAAAAGAAGAATAATTTACTACCTATCTTAGGTTAATTATCAGTATAGGTGAGCATGTGTATATTATCTTTAAAGATCAAAGAAGTGGTAAAGATGGATAGTTCTTGCCTTGTTGTGTATTAGCTTTATTAGCTTTATAATATTTATCTAATAAATTAAAACAAGTTTTAACCAGTGCCTCTGCTAATAGGAATGGCATTGTCAGCTTGTTCACATCTTTTGCAAAGAACTTATAATTAATGGGAAAACCAGTTATCACAGCACTGTAATACTATGATTTTTGTGGGATGGATAGGAAATTTTTATGTCCTAGAACTACATTTATTATCATCTAATCTATAGTATGAATAAAATTTACTGATAATTAGTCCTTTTGGTGATAATAGTTCAGGATAATTTGCTATACTTGTTGTTCCTATTTATATTTAAAATGCTCAGTTATTTTTTGGCCACATTTCATAGCTTTTTAATTCTTGGATTTCCTTTTTTTTAATTTCTCTATCTGGTGCTGTTCATACCATTTTTCTATCCAATTCTATTTATTGCCCATTAATTTACATGGTATACCCTAAAAAGACCAACTGTAATTAATGGCACAACAGCAAGACATGACAGCAATCAATATTATTAATTCATTCTATGTTTTTCTTTCTTCTTAACAGATATCATCAATGTTGTTCCTCCTACTAAAACTCATGGTAAATAATTTAATTGGTTGTTTCAGGGTTGGAAATAAACTGGGTACATTGAGACCAATGAGTTTTGGGATGGTCCATTGCCATTAATAAAATACTAAATATAGTATGTTAAAAATCTTACACTGATGGACTATAGTTGTTTGCCATTATACATGAAGTTGAAACTATTTTGACCATTTGCAGATCTGGTTGAAATAGGGTTGAAATAAGGTCAAAACTGATCTTACTATGTAGTTGCCTCAAATTGAAACATTTCAACCTTGGGGTTTTAATTTCGACTTCATGTATAGTTGACATATCTGTAATGCCATAACTAGTTTTTATAGTTGCTATAATTGACTTTAATAGTTGCCCAATTTATCTCTATAATTATTTGGACTTTTTAAGTCAAATGCAGTTAGGGATATTTCCATAGATGGAAATACTAAATACTGTAATGATCGATGGTATGAAAAATTCTAGAAGAAATTCTGATTGGCTAAATTCAACCAGGGATAATACCCTGTAATGATCGACGTTATGAGAAGAAATTCTAATTGGCTAAATTCTGTGCAGATCTTTTCGTTGAATAAAAAATAATAATCTTTAAAGGAAAAGAAAAACAAGAAAAACATGGTAGGAGCTTTATTAATTGATCATATAATTTACAAAATTATATAATATGTGCATTTTTAACTTTCTAGAAGTCTACCCAAGATCAAGCAATGTCAAAGATGCTATTTAACTAATATATAGCATATTATTATATTAATAATGATTTTTATTCCATTATTAAATAATTTACTAAGTTGCCATTCATCAGAACAAAATACTTCATTTTAAAATTTAAATAATACCATATAAATTTCCTTGCCAATTCTATTAAATAATAAATAAAGGATACAACAAATTCCATATAGTAAAAATAAATAATGATTAATTATATTGAAATCAATAGCCACCATTGTAAATAATACAAAATAATTTATTTGGAGTTTTATGCTTACATTTCCATACCGAACTACTTTAGCTCCACATGCTGCAATCCAACAAAGTTGTTGCAAAGGCAGTTACGACTAGGTGTTGCAATCATTTGTATATGATGTAAAGGTGGTTACAACCATCATCAAAGTTGCAGTCGGTATCCTTAAAATAAATAAATAATAAAGCCTAAATAAAAGTATATTATTATTAACAAATTAATTTACATGAATAAATATAGTAATGGTGATTCTGAATATACTTAATAATAAGATTTGCATCAACCTGACGTCAGCTGGCTTTCTGGATATTTGTTTGCAATATCTTCATGCAAACAATACAAACATGGGTCTGATTCATTTCGTCGACACCCATTTCATCGAAAGTTTGTTTCATCGAAAGTTCATTTCGTCGAATGTTCATTTCGTCGAATGTTCATTTCGTCGAATGTTCATTTCGTCGAAAATTATTTCGTTACAAAAAAAAACTCCATTAAACAAATTTCTCCTCACACTTCCCACGCACTCACCTAATTTCTTAACTAACTTCCCACACTCCTCACATCTAACTCGTTCGGTCTCTGGTTCGAGGATGAAATAATTTTCGACGAAATGAACTTTCGATGGAACAAACTTTTGACGAAGTAAACGCGACCGCTCTTTTTCTGGACTAGGTACATTTTGAACTTTATTGATCGACATTATCAGTTTAAAAGTAAAAATTAGACCCGTGTAACGAATGGTCTTTTTAAACAGTTCATTATAATAAAGACAAGTTTCGTCATTAAGCTTCTAATGATTATTTTTTTATATCACAAGGAACTCTTTATGTAAAACTATGGCTATTCAAAAACGGTATCACATTTATACTTCAAAGAAAGATTTTCTTTTCAATTTTGCTATAAATGTCTTGAAAATTGGTGAGAAGATGTAAAATAATTTAAGCGGATAATGCTTTATGTGGGTATGTATTACTGAAGTTTAGAGAATATAATAAAATGAAAAAATATCTTTAGATATAAATCGATTTATGTTTATTAGATTAGTTTTATTTGATTTTTGGTTTTTGGTTTTTATTAGATTACACATTTTTTTTTTTTGTTACTTCGTTGAGAGTGTTCTTCCAGGAACAGATGTAGTCTGAAGTTCAGTTCGCATGCTCATTGTCCTAAGAGACCTAGGGAATTGTTTATTGGTGGAAAATAATATTAAATTTAATTTATCGAAAAAACCACCACACCATTACACAACTATGCTGAATTTCATGAACTGGATTTGTAATTGGACAATACTTTGGGCGGCAAGTATAATGGACTTAATATTGTCGCTACTTCAAAAACAATTTGAAGGCTCCGAAAATGTTAATCCCATGATCAAGTGGCTAAGATACTGAGTGTATATGGAATCAAATTAAAATTAATGACGAAATTGAAGCAAATATTTAAGTCCAAGCAAGAAAAAAGGGAACTATTTATTTTCTCGCTTTCCTCCTTTTAGAAAATCAGCATTGTTAAATGTAATTTCATTTTATAGATGGCCGCAAATCTAATCTATTTCATGGTTTCATTATTGTTACTATTGGTAATAATAGTATCTTCTTCTTCGTCTATACCATCCTCATCCATGTTTTATTCTTTCTTTTCCATTGACACATTCATAGATTGCTTATATCATTTTCCTTTTAGGATTCGTTTTTCGTTTATGGAAATTTTTAATGGCAGAGGCGGCAACTCTTTTCCCTTCAAGTAATTTATGAATAAAAAACTCGGCCCTTTCATCAAATAAGTGTTTACAATATTTCCATAGATGACAATTTTTTGTAAGCATTTTTTTTTTTTTTACACTAACTAGCTTGCTTGAATTGCGTTTCTTTGTAGGCTCTATTTTTTCATCAATTTTTTTGTTCATATTGTAGATCTAGTTTTTATAGGTTTGATAATATAGCAAAAGACTGAATGATAGTCCAATTAACAAGTCTACAAGAAAAATTTGTTTGTAAACGTAAACATTTTATTAAGTATTTGTAGTTTTATTTTAGTTACGTGTATCACGTGTAAATCTCTAAAAAGTAATGGATTTTTTTATTTCATTCTTTTCATTCTTTTCAACTTTCTCTAGTGTCAAATATAAATAGAAATAAATCACACGAAATTCCTCCAAACTAGTAGCTTTGGTAATAATTTGGGCTTCTCATAAAAAATAATTTTGCCAATTAATAAAAATAGTTGGGCCCATAAAAAATTAATTTTCGAACAAACTGTTTCGGCAATTTTGGCTAAGAAAGGTAGTTTCAACCGAAAACCTTATAACAAACTTGAATTACTTGTTTCGGCCAACTCGCTTAACAAGAGCTGATGCCATGATACTTCCTGGTTATATAATTTTTTGTTTGGAGATACATAAAAAGAAAAATAGAGACAGTTTTACTGTAAGTTTCTTTTTTAAAGGTTTTTTAACGAAAATAATTTACATGTATGATTGATAGTATGAAGCTAATGCTGTCCCGCGAGATGTCTTTATCGTTCATTGTCAGCTAACTGATGATCAACTAAAGGAAAACCTTCATTGCAAGATTATTGGGAAGAATAGCAAATAATAATAAATATTATCTATTTTTATGAGTATAAATTACAACCGGCAGCAATTTGCATGTCAGTATTTTAAATATTCTATTATTAAATAAAGAATTTTTTCTCTGTTCGTAAGCTTCACTATATTGTAATATTACACTTACACTGAATATTAATTTTTCCGTAATTTTTGCATAATATTATGGTGTTCAACATAAACTTACATAAGTAGTGTAATAATTAGATAGATTCGCATCAGAAAACTATGCAACAATAATTTATTATTGCGCAAATTGCTATTTTGTCATCAGGAAATTTATTAAGCTCACAAGTTTTACTATATGATGTTGTAACAAAATAAATACTGAATGCAATAATTTTTTGTATAATATTTATTAGAGAGCCCGATGTAAACTTACGCAAGCAGTGCAATAATTATGCAAATTCATGTTAAAAAAAGTTCACAATAGGCTATTTTATTAAATTGCATTTGGACATTCGTCCAGAATCCAAATTATAGTTGCAGTCCCAAATTCGAAAATTAACTCAAAAAATAAAAACAATCATCTTCACATATCATCATTTGACAGATTATCCTTATTTATCCTCTATCTTTTCAATTACTATCCCAATTCCTAGATTTTATGGAACCCATGAACATTTGATGCAGTACCGATGTCACATTCACCACTTATACACAACATCATGCGTGATAAAATTCGTCAATTGATGGATGGGTCAAGACCTGAATTCCCTTGTACCTGTTCAAACATTTATGCCAACAATATTAGATAAACAATTAAAGCTGTTGAAAATGACTTTCCTGGAGGTATGAAATTATTTGCATATTTTATGATACCAGGATATTTATCAACTAGTTCATTAGCTCCCATTTAACAAAAGGATCATCAAATGCAGAAAAAAAATTTTGATTTACAAGAAAGTATTAAAAGTTTAATAGCACACAATAACAAAGAATCGCTTAACAAAATAATAATAAAAGTCATTCAAATATCAATATTAATTGAAGAGACATACTTGAGCCATACTGGGCATTTTTGCTCATGACTATAATAAAGTTAATTCAAGAAATAATAATTTGAAAGAAAATACAAAATAAACAAATTTCTAATGCTCAACAGAGTAATCAATTAAACAAAAATTATAAATAGCCTACCTCTTAATATTTAAACTATAGGACGATTTTTAAAAAAATCATTTACAATAGTCCAAGTATGAGAATAGAAAATGGCAAAGAATAGATAATTGAATTTAGAATTAATATTATTCATTGCCTTCAAGAAACCTGAGATAAAAATGCCAGGAGAAGTTGAAACTGATTTCTAAAGTGCAAGAGCTCAAAGAGGAATTTTTGTAATTGTAACAATAATTCTAACAAAGTTTACTGCACCTAAAAATACAACGAGGCCTTTTTAATATTAATATTACAATTATTTTGTTTTACCAACCCACTAAAGTTTCATCCATCCACGTGATTGTCTTTGTTAATTTTCAGTGCAAGTGTTACATGTTCCACATTCCCCAGTAAAATATACGCGTGACTTTATTGATTAGTATTAGTATTAAAAAAATTTTTTTTTATTACTAAAAAGCAATTATTATGTTTTCCTTTTACAGTGGCAATTAAAATTATTAATCCTTTCTTTCTTATTTTAGCGAAGCCAAAAAAAACAATACCAATTTAAAAATGAACTATTCCCAATTTATATTAGTCTTTTTTCATTCATTTAGATCAAAAATAAAAGAAAAAAGTATTGGTTCGAATTATTTGTAAAACAAATTATTTTAGAGAAGTCAAAGATCAATATCAAACAATCTACATTTTCAAATGACTTGATTAAAAAAAATTTTTTAACAATAAGGAAAATAAAAAATCAATTCGCTCATAGGATAGAAACCCTGAAATATTGAAAAAGACAAGGGACAGACAGGTCACGAAAAAAAGATGTTGAGATGTCTTGGAACAAATAAAAGACAATTTTTCATTATCATTAAACAAAGTAAATTGGCAGCAAATATCTAAGCTGTGTAAGGCGAGTGCTTAAAATCCTTTCTTTAATTTCTTAGCTGGCTATCATCCATCATCAATAAAAATTAGAAGAGTACTTTACCATATATTTAATCTCTGAAATATTTTTAAAAAAATACCCTTGAATAAATAATAAGCACGCAATTTTGCAATTGAAAAAAGTGTAAAACGAAATTGAAACTTCTTGCAAGGATTACCGATTCAAGAAAAATACGTTACACAAAAATGTTATTTTCATAAATGAAAAATTCATTAAAAAAAATTAGGGTAATTATGATTATAAATATAATATACGTTATACTTCTTTTTTAGAATCTATAAACAATATTGACTTGTGCTACACTGTCAATGTGTATTTAGAACTTCTCTGGCTGTGTATAGTTTATAAACCAATTTAGTCATGGAAAGCAGAGGTTCAAAGAACAATTTTTTCGAAAGATTATTTGCATTACTAGTCCAGGAAGGCGAGTAAATGAAAAATAATTCTTTTATAATTATTCCAAATTTTAAAATTATTACCTCGAATTTTGTTGAAATAAAATTATCATCGTCTCGTGACGATCACATAATGCTATACTATTACTATTACTATTAGTATATAAAAATATTTACAATACTAGATTTGATGATTGTACAAAATAAGTCATATCATTTTAATAAAAGAAGAAAAGAATGAAAAAGAATCGAAAATTTATTTGTAACTTACATCTATACTAGTCGTTCCTATGAAAATGGTAAATCTGATAATTTTCAAAGCATTTATTCTTCTAAAAAGTACGAGTAAAAAATATCACAAAGAATATGCTTTACCTTGAGAATAAAAGTCATTTCTTGTGCATGGTTACCACATATTTGAGTTAATTTTCTTTTATCATTCAAGAGTTTTCATCACAATCAATCCTAAAACGTAAAAATAATTTAGATTATGTGGGACGTTGATCGTTTTATCATCATTAATTCGTGAAACATATGGAACAAGGGATTTACATATTGCATCAAATTTTATATTCAGATGATGATGATTGTTAAAAAAACGCCAAAAAATATTTTTATGAAAAAAAGAAAAGTTGCCATTCGAAGATTTTTATGTCGATCGATTTTCCACTATGTTTTCTATTCATTTCTGACCTCTGACAATGCTCTTTCTTTTTTAAATATACATCATAGTGGTTAATCCACCCACGAATAGTTTGGAGTTTTGGAACCTCGTTTTTATCAACTTGACCTTCTGTCATAACATCCAACTCTTCCAACATAGTTTCAACTGTATATATTCTAGTTTTGTCAGCTTCTCCAACTAAAAAGAAGCTTTTCTAATAAACTTGTAATATATTAATACATTTTAAATCTGTAACACAAATTGAAAAACAACGTTATTGTTTGACTAACTTTTATTCCTATTATATAGCTGGGATTTTTGTGTTGGTATAGACCACCAATTTGTCCGTAATGAATTTCTGATACAATAATGTCACGAGATAATAAATTATAAGAATGTTTTTTTTGTGTTTATTAATGATTAGAAAATTGCGAGGAAGTCGCCATTTACTAGCTCTGCGAATTAATATTTCTGTTATAATAATACTCTCTCATCTATACCCAAGTATTAATGATACTCACTCCTTTTACTTTATAATGAGGCTCGATATTTGATACTTAATAGATATTATGAAAATAAGTCTTCGTTTCTCTTTGTGAAGATTCATAAAAGTTATGTTTTATTGATTTGAACAAATTTATAATAATTTATAAACAATAAATTAACATTTGAAATAAAATGGCCTTTTTCATTTCTTACAAACTTTATTAAAGTAAAATTGAAAATTTTTTAATATCTTCAATTTTCGTTATTATTGTTGTTAGTATATTAGTATTAGGGCTGAGTGTGTAACCCATACTGAAATAGAAATCATAATGCAACTATTTGACACAGTACTTTTACTTTCTTATTGGACATTTTATTTATTATTATTATTATCATAAAAATGAAATCGAAATCGAAGAATTTACTTTTTTAAAATAAAAAATAATGACAAGCAAATTCATTTCTACCAACATAATTTAATTGTTACTATTATTATTACTACTAGTAGTATTATTATTGAGATCGTTAATTATAAAATAATCATTTAATAATGGATTCGACGTGTTATCAGTAGTTTTGGCTTGTAGAAATTGTACGTAACGTGCCTCAACTTATAAATAAAAAAAATCAAATAAATTAATTTTTAAAAAAAAATTTAGTAAATATTAAATGTACAAACAAATATTGAAGATTTTGTTACTTTGTGGACGTCTGTATAATCTATTTAGTTTTTGTTGCTTCATAATTTTTTTCTTTAAGAGTTTGTCCCGACAACAATTATTTCTTACTTTGAGGCAGTTATCACAAGCTGCTTTGTCATCACATTTAATGTGTTTAGCACTACATCGGACACATGCATTCTTGGAATATTTATATTCAGATCCGGTCATTTGTTTGAAAATAAAAATTTTTTTTTTTTGATTTTTTAAAAAAAATTTGGAAAACATCAAAGGATTTTTTTTTTGAATTTAAATACTTTATTTTTTCCCTTGCTTTCTTTTTTTGATCATTTTTCTTTATTACAATCATTATAAAAGTTAGACGGAAATTAGATAAATATTTTTAAGTGAAAAAAAATCTTGATTATTCAATTTAATTTTGATTGGTGATAAATTTGCATCCTTTCTTTTGACAAATTTGGGAAAATATATTGGCATTAGCAATTTAATGTATACACGTGTGTTTTTTATAGAAAGGGACCAGGAAATTCTTATATTTCAAAATGTTGTTTTTGTCGTGCTTCTTTCGCCTCATGTGAAAGAAAAAGGACTGAACAGCATTCTGTCTATTATAACATTTGTAGTTCTCATGATACTGTCTTTTGCTTTTAATATGCGCTTCTATTTGAAGCAATCATGTTTAAAAGTTAGAATTTTATAAATCGTGTACATCATATATATTATATAAGTAAATAAACATTGTACTCGAATAATAATTAATCTGTGCGTGGAAAAATAAAAATGAAAATTCTATGAAAGTTCGTTCATTGGTCAATCCAACGATTGCATTCATTTTAATGTACGATTGCGTGCTTTCATATTTTGGGGTACCTAAATTACTTGTACGTCCTTGTGATTTAATGGGATAAATGAACGTATTTATTACAAACAAACAAACAATCAAAAAGGTAGATCAAGAAATCTGTTGGGAAACATTTCACTGAAATTGGTAGATAGCTTTGATAACAAACATCCTGATGTGAAATGTAATTATTGTGGTCAACCAACAATAGACTTGTGGAAAAGTTCAGATATAGTTTCACATGTTGCATTGTCCTGTACTAAATTTTTTACTACCTGATACTAATGCAAAGTTCCAACATATCTTACAAAATAATGAGATTAGCGAGGATGATGAGATAATCCACAAACAAAAAAAAAATAACTAAAAATTTCTGATCAATATCTTCATAACCTTTTGACTAATGGTATAATGAAATTAGAATTAATTAAAGAATGTAAAAAGTTGATAAATTTTTTACTAAATCATATATATGCTGCTGTGAAAATTTGAGAGTAGGAATGGCTAATAATAGGATATCATTTAACTCTACCAATTCTATAAATAGATGTCAATTGGCAATTAAAATTTAAAATATATATATTTTTTTTAATGCTTTCAATTTCAAGTAGAGATATTCTCTTAAATACTTTAGTTTCTGGAAAATAAATCTCATTTGTTTAGTAATAATATTACATTGATCCAGTTAAAAAAGCGGTTGTTATGCTTGAGCATATAAGTGTCACTTTCCACTAGAGATTGGACTTGAAAATTTTATTTTTGATCGGTTAATCACTTGTTCAAATTGACCATCAAACTCTAAATCCGTCATCATTAATTGATTTAAATACTGTTGGCTCTCAAAATCACGCTTATAGACCTAAATTTACAAAGAGGCAGTAAAAAAGTACTTTAAACAAGAAGGTAATGT